ATTTCCCGCATCATGGCATAGCCACATAGCTGCATATGTGGAGTATTTACTGCCTCAACTTTTCAGAATATATTTCATTTGACGTCATGGTCAAAATACCCTGAAAGAATTGAAAAAGCACAAAGTTTCCGCGGACGATACATCAACTCGGACATTCGGATGGAGGTACTGATCGTACACATAGTTGACATCATCGAAGTTGCCTACATTGAACACAACAATCGTCAGAATGAGGTGTCGACGTTTTATTGTTAAGCGTCGTGGTTATTTACACTGTTAGTTACTACGACACACATTGACGTTTAACCAAACACTCCTATTTATTAAGTACTACGTACAAGTAGTATCACAATAGCAGACATGTACAAATCAATTCGGATACACTTGTAAGTTGTACGGATAATATAATGCATACAAACATGAATACTAGTATATCCTCTTGTGCCATGGTGTGTTTATATTTCCACGCACAAAGTACTCCGTACTCCCTCTGCTCCACATTACTGCGACAAAAAGATAATCGTTTTTTTCACATTACTGTGACAATATGGATGCTATTGGCCAATTAGGAAATTCAATGGTTCGATGGTCAAAATTACCATGGTCTATAAAAGCAACGACACTGGGCACGACACATTGGACATCAGGAGACCTGCACGTCTCATGGTCGCCTTCTTCATGTGCGGCAACGCATAACCGTTACCCCCAGAGTGCTCGAGGATCAAACGCATCACAGCTTGAAAGGTAAGAAACACACTCTCCAGTTTGTCGTACTTCAGTTCCTCGAATGCTTCCACGGTGTGCGGATCACATCATCCACGTAACGACTCATCTTCTTGTACTGAAGGGACTGAATCGAGGCAAAGAATCCATGATCAAGCACGTTCAGATCAGGGCTGTTTGGTGGCTGTCGGTGGATCATAAACGTCCAACCATAGTTCGGTATCAGTGACGAATCCATGCGACGTTGCGTTGTCGTGCTGCAGAACAACGCGCTTGTTCGAACTGGGGAAGGTTGCCTTGATTGCTGGTACGACCTTGTTCAGCACGAAATCACGATACACAGGACCATCCACATTGACCAACGACGTCACCATTGTCCCAGCAGGTCAGTTTCTTGAGTTCCGTGTGGCGGACTGAGAGCGTACAAATGGCCACATCCCAATCTTGCCCCTGAAGACTTCTCCTCGTACCTCATCATACCGCGAACGCGCAACGGCAGCCAAGAACATGACCTTTGGAACGAAGCGTTTGCTCTTCCAAGCGCGCTTAGGCGGTGCTTCTCCGGGAACGAGTTACACCTTGCCTCGATCTTTGTCAGCGTTAAACCATTTCTCATCCAAGTGCACGACGTCCAATATTGCCGAATTCAACGGTTTTGACGCGTTCTGCCTTGTTGACGTCCGAGAGCAACGGTTTGATACGGGACGAGCGTCGGACGAATGTGTTTTTCTTAAGGTGTCTACTGAGGGTACCCATAGATAGGCCAGTGGCAGCGACGATGTTACGGAGGGTTGACCGTTGATCGACAGGTACGTCTTGGACAAGTTGTCGAACGTATTGGTCAGTGAACTTTGCCTTTAGCCCAACTCTCCCGAATTTGTTTGACAACGTGCTCCCTCTGATGTTATGCGCGCTCCATACAGCAGAGACGGTGCGGGGTTTGAGATTGAGTTGCTCGCCAACGAGTTTGAATGCTCCACGCTGGAGCTTGCCATTGTTGGGGAAGGGTTGAGGGGCTTGGACTATCGTTGCCTTAACGTGACGTGTAAGTTCACGATGGGAACATTCAATGTGATTTTCTATGGTGGCAAATTCAAAAATGATGTAGATTTGAGTATACAGGTTTGCTACATCTTCTAATCTATCCTCTTCCTCGAGTCTCACATTCATCAATGACAAAGCCAATTCGTAGTCTGCTGTCGATGCACTTTGAGGAATCTTGTACCGATTGCAACCCTTAGCCTCGATGACGACATGCATAATTCGGCGCAGTGTCAGGAACGTCTTTTCCAGCTTCGTGGGTGACAGCATCAGATAGGAGCACTTGACGGCAGCAATAAGTTCTTCCATACTGCGGCATTCCAGCGTCTGCTGCAGGGATTGAATCGCGTTAAAGAAACCCAAATCCAAAACATTCAAATCCGGCGATTGAGCTGGCTGGTTATGGATGCGAATGGTCCAACCGCCTTCTTCACCGGCTGTGACACACTCGGCATCGTCCAGGCCGATGTGAGACCGCGCGTTGTCTTGCTGGATGACGATGTCACCACCATCGACACCAAGCGGCCACGTTCATTTCGACTTGATCGCGGGTACAGCTTTGTCGATGAGAATGCGGCGGTAGACGTCCTTCGTTACGACCACGCTCTTTAACACTTCAAATCCCGCAGGCCTGTTGCCACTCTTCCTGACGGCCGACGTGCGTTCCACAATCTCCCAGCATCCGAGTCGTCCGTCCCAGCCATTTCTTGGTCGCGCAACCGCACAGAGCAACATGACCTGGGTTATGTGCGACTTGGATTGGAGGTGTCTTGTGATCAGTTGCTCGTCATTCCAAAGCAAAAAGTGTCAGCGGATCTTGGTCATATAGAACCACTTTTCGTCAACATGAACGGTATGATACATATCATATACTTTACCACTCTCTGTCAGAAATCGTTCGCAGAACTTGACCCGGGGTTCTTTCTGGTTGTCCTTCAGGCACGGCCGTGTCCAACTTGAGCGTCATGTCATCCACTTCTGCTTGACGTACGTCCACAGCAGGAAGACGGACAACCCGGTGGCCGCGGCCTGAGCACGATACGATTGTCGCTGTTGCAGCGGTGTTCTCTTGATGTGAGCCTCTACCTCGTCAGGACTGTACT